AATATTAAAAAAAATATTAATCAGCAATTCATTTATTTAATGAAGGTAATCAAGAACTTCATTTATCTAATGAAGGTTCCTTTCTAAATGCTAATTACAAGGACAAACCGATCATGTCATATTTGAATAATGTGTGTAATAGTTGACACTAATAAATGCACTAATTTTAGCTTATTTATCAAATAAATGGCCTGATGCAAATAAGTTTTACTTTAATCATGTGAGAACCTTACGCGCACGTTTTTTTTTTTAATTTCTAACATTTTGAATTTTTTTGAGTTAAAAATTTGTATTTGGAATGTTGGTATTGGTAATGGCCTCGTATGCGCCATTTTGAATAATTTGACAGTTCAAGGTATATGTCAAAGATGTAGACAAAACTAAATAAATCAATTAATTATGTAATTTAAGGAATAAAAACGTTTTACAAACATCGATTTGTGTAATTTAGAAGCTTCTAAAAGTGCAGTAATAATTTTACATCCACAATGTCCGACCAAGTGAATGCAATTCCAAATGATGTGGAACCAATACTTTCACCTTTAGAAAGTGCAACAAATTCTTATACCAACGACGATAATTCTTCTAAAGATGCTTCAGGTGACGAGGACAAATCTGTCGACTTATTAATAAAATGTGAAGTAACGATAGATGAAGAATCCGAACAGTTAGTGCTACCCACAAAAGGCCCTAAACGATCCTTTGCATGTGAAACATGTGGTAAAGCCTTCACATCATATTGTAAAGTCGAAAGACACCAAGTGGTGCACACGGGTATCAAGCCTTTCAAATGCAACAGCTGCGAGAAGTCTTTCTCGCAACACAGTAGTTTACTCATCCACTTTAGGACTCATTCAGGTGAAAAGCCTTATGTGTGTGAGGTGTGTACTAAAGCCTTTGTTCGCTCAGGGGATTTGAAGTGTCACTTGCGTATTCACACGGGGGCTAAGCCTTTTCCGTGCTTGTACTGTGAGAAAGCGTTTGCGAGACAGAGTACTCTGGCTTTGCATCACAGGACTCATACGGGGGAAAAGTCTTATATATGTACAATATGTGATAAAGGCTTTTCGATGGCTAGTAATTTGTCAAAGCATATGTTAATACACACGGAGGAACGCCCGTTTACATGTGAAATATGTAATAAGGCTTTTAAACGATCCGGCTACCTTACGAAACATTATATTACACATAATAAAAAGAAACCAGAGATGGTAATAGATAATGGAATTGGACATTTAGAGAGCTCGGAGATGGTAATAGATAATGGAATTGGACATTTAGAGAGCCCGGAGATGGTAATAGATAACGGAATTGGACCTTTAGAGAGCCCGGAGATGGTAATAGATAATAAAATTGGACTTTTAGAGAGCCCTAGTATAAATAGTTGTAATTGAAAAATGTGATAAAATTATGGAAACAATTAAGAAAAAGTATTATATAAGATATAAGCGTTATTTTGTTGAGTATAAGATTATTTTATTAAATGTATTATTTATATTATGACATATATTTTAAATTAATTCATAATCCTCCTGTTCAGTAAGAAAATATTCGAAGAATATTAAATATTTTATTATAAATATTTATATTGTTCATAAATTATAGACAAATATCAGAGCTTATAAATTGCATGATGAGATTATTATAAGCTTAGATAAGGAAATTATCTATCTATATAATTCAATCAAGATAATTATATTATAAGTTTGCAATGAAGAAAACTTAAACAGAGTTAGAATGAAGGATCTTATCTCATATTTCTAAGAATTGCAAAATTAAAATCATTTATATCAAGTTTCTATTTCTTTAAATATTATTTATATATTATATTTCAAATTAATTGACAATCCTGTTCGGAGGCTTTTGAATTATGAATTAGCAGAAACTTTCTGTTCAGTAATGAAATATTCGAAGAATATTAAATGTTTTCAAATATTTCATTATAAATATTCATATTGTTTATATTTTATAAACAAAATATGAGAGCTTATAATTTGGACTATGAGGTTTATATAAGTTTATATAAAAAGTGAATGAACAAAACTTAATTGGATCTCATCTCATATTTCTAAGAATTGCAAAATTGAAATAATTTATATCAAGTTTCTATTTCTTTAAATATTATTTATATTATCATGTATATTTTAAATTAATTGACAATCCTGTTTGAAGGCTTTTGAATTATGAAATAGCAGGAACCTCCTGTCCAGTAATGAAATATTCGAAGAATATTAAATGTTTTCAAATATTTCATTATAAATATTCATATTGTTCATATTTTATAGACAAAATATAAGAGCTTATAAATTTGGGCGATGAGGTTTATATAGGTTTACATAAAAAATGAATGAACAAATCTTAATTGGATCTCATCTCATATTTCATAAATTAAAATTATTTATCTCAAGTTTCTATTTCTTTAAGGGGGTTGTTCATTTTTTTTTTTACAAAAAATGCAAGGTATTTGTTTGTCTAGGTATTGCAGTGGTGAATAAATTAAAAAAAAAATGCAAGTCCATCCGACTTGTAGTTTTTTTTAATTTGTGGCACCGCATTGATAAAAGTCATTTTGAGAAAAACGTATTTAAAGTTTTTAATATAATGTACTAAATACACCATGGTGTTCAAAGATACTGACACATTAAAAAGGTCATGTGCATGAGGTATTATAATGAAAAAGAGAGCAGCTGGCATACAATAGCTCGCGGAGCGATAAAAAAACGGTTTCAGAGGATCATACATATAGAGATATATATATCTATAATTTCGTCAAAAAATAGATATTGAGATGATTTTTTTTTAAATAATTCTAGGGTTTTTAGCTTTAATAATATCAAAAAATCTCAAAATCGAAAAAAAAAAAATAAAAATCGAACAACCCCCTTAAATGTATTATTTATATTATCATGCATATTTTAAATTAATTGACAATCTTGTCCGGAGGCTTTTAAATTATGAAATAAGTGATACCTCCTGATCAGTAATGAAATATTTAAAGAATATTAAATGTTTTTAAATATTTCATTATTATTGTTCATATTGTGACAAAATATAAAAGCTTATAAATTGGACGATGAGGTTTATAAAAGTTTACATAAAAAGTGAATGAACAAAATTTATTCGGATCTTATCTCATATTTCTAGGGATTGCAAAATTAAAATTATTTATCTCAAATTTCTATTTTTTTTAAATGTATTATTTATATTATTATGTATATTTTAAATTAATTGACAATACTGTCCGGAGGCTTTTGAATTATGAAATAGCTGAAACCTCCTGTTCAGTAATGAAATATTTGAAGAATATTAATTGTTTTCAAATATTTCATTTTAAATATTTATATTGTTCATATTTCATGGACAAAATATAAGAGCTTATAAATTGGCCGGAGGCTTTTGAATTATGAAATAGCTGGAACCTCTTGTTCAGTAATGAAATATTCGAAAAATATTAAATATTTTCAAATATTTCATTACAAATATTCATATTGTTCGTATTTTATAGACAAAATATAAGATCTTATAAATTGGACAATGAGGCTTATATAAGTTTACGTAAAAAGTGAATGAACAAAACTTAATGGGATCTTACTTATCTCAAATTTCTGAGAATTTTCCAAAATTAAAAAAATTATTTATCTCAAGTTTTTATTTCCTTCCTTTAAATTCTTTTCTTTAAATGTATTATTTATATTATCATGTATATTTCAACCCTTTCCACTCGGATGCCGCCGCTCCGGCGACAAAATACATATAAATCTCGCAATTTGCGAGTGGAAAGGGTTGAATTAATTGACAATCCTATCCGGAGGCTTTTGAATTATGAAAAAAAATTGATTATGAAAAAACAATTAACGCTCTGCGTATTAAGTAAAAATTTAGAGTACCTGAAATATTTTTAATAAAATCATTATTACTAATGAACAGTTTTATCCCTGTGGAGTGGAAAGGGTTAAAATAAGTTTAATAATAAGATAAATGAGTCTATAATAGTTAGAGTTTACTACTGACCACGATCCTGAAAAAAAAAGGAAACTGGATCGGACCCATTCTGCAAAAAGAATGCCTCCTGCATGACGTCGTCGAAGGCAAAATAGAAGCTTTGAAAGGATTGGGAGGAAGAAGAATGCAAATGATTGACGACTTACGCGAGTAAGTGGAAATACAGGGAACTGAAAAGCGAAGCACAGGATCAGGAAGCATGGAAGCACAAGTTTGGCAAGGAAAATTCGTAAAAACGAATATAAAGTGATTAATGGTGTATAATCAATGGTAATAAAACGGTAATGGTAATAATAAAAAACGGAGGGAAAGAAAATCATTGATTTTGTGGTGCTTCCGGGCAGACTACTATTTACTATTATGTAATGGTTATGGATGTTCCATAGTGCAACGGTTGAGCACACTGCCTTGTGTGGACTTGATTATTATGAGTTCGAACCCCTGCTCTGGGTATTCTGATATCATGCAGTAATGATATCAATTTTCACTTGAAATTAGTCTATTTCAATGACAATGGGAAATCACTCACACTATTCTCCCCTAAATCGAGTTGGAGTTTAACTCAGCTCATGTACCTGCCCAAGGGCAGTACTACCCACGATATTTTATTTACTAAAAATGTATTTATTATTTATTAATGGTGTTTATTAATGATACAAAGTATATATATAGAGAGGGTTTAAAATGGACTGGTTTTATTTAATGGTAAAAAAAATAAATCAATATTGTTAAATTTAAAGTTTAATAATAAAATATATGTCTGGGATGATTTGTTTTTATTTAAGAACAATTTGATGATTAAATTTTTCATGAAAATGTTGTAACTAGTCTGAAAATTGTTGTAGATTGTCTGAAAATCTTGTGGAATATATGAAAGCGTTGAAATTTGTCTGAAAATGTAGTAACTTGTCTGAGAATTGTTGTAGATTGTCTGAAAATGTTGTAAATTGTCTGAAAATTGTCGTGGATTGGCTGAAAATGTTGTGGATTTTCTGAAAATGTTGTAAATTGTTTAAAAATATATTGTAGATTTTCTGAAAATTGTGTAAATTATCTGAAAATGTTATAGATTGTCTAAAAATGTTGTAGATGGTCTGGAAACATTGTAGATTGTTTAAAAATTTTAGAGATTGTCTGAAATTCTTGTAAATTTTCTGAAAATATTATGAATAATCTCTTGTGAACATTGTAAATTTCTTGGAAATGTTGTAACTTGTCTGAAAATGTAGTAGATTGTCTGAAAATATTGTAACTTGTCTTAATATGTTGTAACTTGCCTGAAAATGTTGTAACTAGTCTGAAAATTATTGTAGATTGTCTAAAATGGTGTAAATTATCTGAAAATGTTGTGGATTGTCTGAAAAACAATTCAAACAAAACTGTTTGAAAAAGTTGTAACTTGTCTGAAAATGTTGTAGATTACCTGAAGATGTTGTAGATGGTCTGAAAATATTGTAGATTGTCTAAAAATTTTAGCGAATGTTTGGAAATATTGTAGATTGTATGAAAATGTTGTGTATTGTCTAAAAATGTTGTGGATTGCCTGAAAATGTTGTAACTTCTCTGAAAATATTGTAGATTGTCTGAAAATGTTGTAACTAATTTGAAAATGTTGTATTTGTACGAAAATATTGTAGATTGTCTGAAAGTGCTGTAACTTGTAGAAAATGTTATATCTAGTATGAAAATGATGTCAATTATTTAAAAATGTTGTACATTTTCAAAATTTTGTCTGAAAATATTCTAAGTTGTCTTAAAATGTTGCGAGTTTGTCGAAAATGTTGTAGATTGCCTGAAAATGCTGTGAATTGTTCAAAAAAATTGTAGATAGTTTGAATTTCTCGTAAGTCTTTTGGAAATATAGTGAAAAATCTGAAAACATTTTAAACTGACTGAAAATATTGTTGATTGTCTTATAAAATGTTGTGGATTGTCTTTGATGTTTTGTCTCTAAAACAACTACGCAGCGCGATTGTTTTAAAAAAAGTTCTAAAGTTTTGGAATATACAAAAAAAAAAGGAAAATCTCATTATTTTTCCAACAAATTCAAAATTCTCAAAAATCCATTTTTCTCAAAAGATTTTGTTTAATTTTTAAAGAAATTTTAATTTTCGGTAAGGAGAAATTAGGTAAGGGAAGTTCCAGCAATTTGCCTTAAGATCGTGCCATATACCACTAGTTCAAGAAATATTCACGAAAATTTAAAATATTTGTTTTAAATCAATTTCAACATTTGAATGGTGGTATCCAGCATAATTATATAGTCCATGAAGTTGTCGCAGCTCTTATGCACAAAATCAGTTTTATATTAAAATTGAATTTTTATGCTTAATTCAATACAATTGGTGTATAATAATAAACGCATACAATATTGTGTTTAAAAAATAATAATAATAATAATAATAATAATGATAA